GATCAGCTCCAATACCCACGGCCCAAAACCCTGGGCGATCAGCTCCATTATCCACCGCCCGATAAAGCCTGGGAAATCAGCTCAAACCTCCACCCCCCACCCCGCTAAAAACCCTATGGGAACAGCACCCCTCGCCACCCTAAGACACCGAGGGGATGGCCTAGCATCAGGAGGCTCCCTCCCGCCTGCCTTCCTTCTTTCCCCGCGGCCGTACCGTGCTTCATGGCGACGATACTGCTAGCCGCTACCGTGTCAGATGCCACCAGGACGAAGTCCCTGCCCTGTATCCCTATGAGGTACTCCATGACGGTCTCCGGGAAACAGTAAGGGATACAGCAACGCGGGCCGGGACTGAGACAGCAAAACCAGCAGAGCGCCTGCACGGGAACTGAGGCACCGCGAGAACTGAGGGGAGGCACGTGACCCGCCGGCGGTGGGCGGGGCTTCGGGAAAAATAATACATTGAGTTGGGTACGGAGATACGGTGATACACTGAGAAAGAATAATCGAGGTGCAGACAGAGAGTGATATAGTGATAGAGGAGGTGAGATAGAGTAATACAGTGAGAGAGCATTATAGTGAGGGAGCAGTACAGTAAAAGTGTATTGTGCAGTCAGAGTGTACTTTTCCTAGTTAAGTCATGACACTGAAGATACTTTATTGCACCAAGTTGCTATATCAGTAGAAGCTACTGTTACTTGTTACGAGCAAAATAGAAAGTGGTCTAATATTGAAGGCGAAAGATGTTGCTCTTGGTGGCTGAGATATTATCACAATGTCAGGGCGAGTTATACCGAATTTTAAGCATAGATTGTGAACGCGTTGTGATACACAATTTTTTCGAGAATACATTTGACAAAACAGATAACATAGTTACCTGGTCTACTCTAGGTTAGTGTGAAAGGTGGCATGAAAAGTACAATTTTCAAGGAACAAAGTGTTCGAGTATTTTCATTCTTATGTACACTTGGCACTTCACTTTTGAATCTACAGGTTGGTGATAAAGACCCCGGAACTTTAGACGTTAACAGCTTTGTATGCAGTAGTTACAATATTTTATTTGAAAGCTTTTTGGAAGATTTTACTGAGCACTAGCATTTGATTTTAGGGCTTTAGTTTTTTTTGATTTTTTTTTCATTCTCACCAATACTTTTATGAGTTGGGCAATGAATTAAAAAAAATTACATTTTTAGTGATTTTTTTTCTTTGCATTCGTAAGATAGTACAACTACCAGAAAATCCATTGAGAGAACTCAAAACAGTGTCAAAAATGAGATGTGATTCCAAGATTAGATAATAATTGATACATAATCCTGAATGTGCTAAGAATTACACTAACAACCCTAATTTAAGATTGTCACTATTCTGCACAGAGTAATAGGTTCTGTGCCTTTAAAAGGAGTTTCCTCTGTGCTGTACACTGGGTGGGGGATTACAATGCCCATCATCAAGAGTACCTCAGTAATAATACTACTGACCAAACTGGCCAAGTCCCAAAGTACATAGCTGCTAAACTGGATATATGCCAGGTTGTGAAGGAACCAACAAGAGAGAATAATCTCCTTGACTTCGTACTTACCAATCCACTTGTTGCCTTCGTCAATGAAAGTACCAGTAGGCGTGACCACCGCACAGTTGTTGTCGAGGTAAAGTTTTGTCTTCACATTGAGGATATCGTCCATTGTATGGCACTGCTAATGTGTGCTAACTGGGTCAGATATTGAACAGATGTAGCAACACTGGGCACACACATCAGGCGTGTGTGCCATCCATTGCAGAAGAATTGCATTCAACCACAATATGCCACCTCATGGTCTGACATATCCCCACTTTACCATAAGCAACAGGGTGGGAAATCAACTCTGGTTCAATAAATAATGTAGTGGGGGCATGCCAGGAGCATTATCAGATACATTGTTTTTAATCAATTGTGGGACGTGGGCATCACTGGTTGGCCAGCATTTATTGCTTGCCCCTAGTTGCCCTTGAGAAGGCAGTGGTGAGATGCCTTCTTAAACTGCTGCAGTCTGTATCTAAAGATTAAGTGCCAAGTTTGTAAAGCTACAGCGCAGAACTACTTGCATGTAAAGCAGTGTAAGAAGCGTGCAACAGATAAGGTTAAACAATCCTGCAACAAATAGATCAGATCGAAGGTTTGCAGTCCTGCCATAGTCAGTTGTGAATGGTGGAAGAGAATTATCAATTAACAGGAGATGGAGACTCCACAAACATCCCCATCCTCAGTGTTGAGGGAGAGCAACATAACAGTGAAAAAAAAAAACAAGGCTGAAGCATTTGCATCGATCTTCATCCAGAAGTGCCAAACGGATGATCCATCCCTGCCCCCTCCCAGGGCCCTCAACCTCATATGGAACTGTCATGGAGAATGAACCAGAAGCAGTTATTTCTTTGAGTCTTTGTTCAATTGGAGGAGGCACATTGCCTGGACATGTATAGGTTAGAGCCCTGCATATGTCACTTTTCGCAAGTGTAGTAAGCCACGTTGTAAGCCTGGCAGATAATGTGACGGTTCTGTGCCTTTCAAAGGAGTTTGCTCTGTGCTGTACTCTTTCAGAGAGCTGTTGTCAGTGGTGCTGAAATATCTACCTCAGGAGCAGTGGATAAACAACTCTGAGCTCTGTGAGTGCTTTTTCAAAATTAAACAAAAGAAGCATGAGTAGGTGGAATCAAGCTCACACAGACACAGTTTTGCTTTCACTAAAAATTGGGAGTTTGACTATTGACGGTGCTAGATACAGCTCTCTCTCTCTACTGAAGCTAAAAGCTTGAGTTCTGTCTTTGCTGCCAGGTTTATTATTTTGGTGTTCCTTTCTCCTGGACTGGACTTAGCACATGAGAAAATCTGTTTTGCTGAATTTGTATTTGCCAAGGGTGTGTTTGTGGGATGCGGTTAAATTGGAGCAGTTGATGATTAGTAGTTAAATAATATGTTCTTTTGTTGAATATTTCAACAGAGTTAAAATTATGCCAATTCTTCTTTTTGTTTTGATTATATTTTAACTGTGGTGTAGAAATAAAGTGTGTTTTGCTTAAAGCTGTGTAGTGGACCAATCAAATCACATTTGGAACAGAGGACCTTACATTTGCCTTTAAATAAGATAAAAATTATGGTCTGGACTACTTCCATGATATATTTTGAGGGGATTTGGTCTGGCCCATAATAATCTTAAATTAGTTGTAGGTGTAATTTGTATCTCATTCGGGATTGTTCAGTGAGTGCTTTCCAGCAATGGAATTGCATATAATGTTGGAGATTGTATTCGGGGATATCCATGTATAACAGGTTGAGGACAGGTTGCCTGATACAAGCAGCTGAAGGGATTTGATGTTGATATGATTCTCAGTTGTTGGGACATTGGGTCTACGTACCCACCATCACACTGATGCTGAAATTCACATATCACATTGCACATTTATGTGTTAGATGAGATTAATTGTTGGCTAATTGCAGCTTTCTATTAGTGGAAAATACTTTTTTGCATTACTACTACATAGTATCAATGTGAAATGATGAGTTTCGTTTGTTGCACAAATTTTTCAGATACTTTCTCTTTCCAGCATAATTTGAGGTAGACTGGGTAATTTTCACTTTTTCTTCTCCTTGATGAGAAATTTGCTCATGGATATTCTTCAGTTGTCTACTGCAAGCCTGCATTCACTGATTAACATACACACTGGGATTTCTACAGCTCCATGCATTAATTGGCAACCTTGTGAACAGGACTGGAGCCATTTGCTGACTGTGTGAGTTTGATGCTGAAGTAGGGTATATCATTGCTTGATGTGTGTTGTGCAAACTCATGGATGGAACTAGGGCCACCATTTGTATCTTTGTAACATATTAAAATAGGTACTCACTATTATTATTTAATAATAGACACACTATCAACCATTTCTGTTAATTCAACCAAAGTAATCTCCCTCAGCTGAATATTTCAAAGAATTTGACAGTAGCATTAAATGGGTTATAAGCGATGTCCATTGTATGAGCTGGTGTTAGACCAATTTCTAGTTCTTATTCAAGGAGGAGGAACAACTGTTCTGATGAGGTATAGTAATGAAAGATAATGCATAATTTTGTTTATTGATGATGTTTCTTAATGTGCTGCTATTAATGGCAGCTCCAGAATGATGATCTTTCTCAGTATGAGGACAAATATCTTTATATTCCATCACAATTTAATGTATCTAGTCTCTAAACCCTATGTGAAGTGCCATGATACACACAAGTAGCTATACTCCCCATCCTCTTAAAAAGGAGTATGCCTGCCTGGTTCAACAAATATATATTTTATACAGAACCAGATTAACTGAAAAGCCAAAATATGTAATATTTTCCACCCTTATTAGTGAATATAGATCTGATTTTGTTATGATATGAAATTGCCTTGTACATAAAGATATGACTTTTAAGTAGTTCCTACTTTGAGATCATTATAGGAAAAGTGACTGTAATGCCACGTTGGCCATCATGTTTTGTTATATGTTTGGAAGATTCCTAATGCTGTCATTTTCTGTGGGACTTTACAATGATATCCACAGTTGGAGTTTGTAGAAAATCAGCTGTCTCTAATTTATATGTTGCTTGCCTTGAAAGTTGCAAAAGATGTTTAGAATGATACCAAATACTGAGATATCACAAAGTGTATTTTGTATAGAACCAGATTAACTGGCTAACAATATAGGACACACTGCAATCAGAGTTGGAAACTGGAAAATGGACAGTAACAGCTTGTATGCACCCAATAACCTACAACAAAACATGATAAAGTGCATCCAGAAAAATTAATCTGAATGATGTTGTTCTTTAGAATGTGTGTGAGTTAATGATCACTCTTCACAGCCAGTCTATATCTGTGAAAAGTGTTATTTTAGTGCAATATTGCAGAGGAAACCATGAGAAATCGATTTGTATTTGAAGGTGAAAATGGATTCCAACTTGCTATCCACAGCAACAGCTCGTGCGATTATCACTAACTTCCTTTCCAATCAATTGATCTGCAGGTGTGATTGGAACAAAATATAGCTAGGAAATCTGGAGAGATTTGAAATGCAGCACATGACCCCTAATCCTATCCAACATATCTCAAGCATTTATAAAATGAGACCCGTTCTTTGAACTTATGTCTAGTGAGAGCTTTTCAAAAATATTTAGAAAATTATGTTTAAATACACAGTTTGATTTGATTTGATTTGATTGTTACATGTACCGAAATACAGCGAAAAGTTTTGTTTACGTGCGATACAGGCAGATCACAGCCAGCAAAGGATGTACAGATCAAAAAGACTTAGAGGCGTACAGGTTACATTGCAGGTGATATTATTTGATGCTAGAGGTAGTTTCTTATGGTCCTGGGCCAAGCAGTTGCCATATCAGGCCGTTATGCACCT